GGATAAAATTGTCTGTATGAATTAATCTGTTTGTATAAGTTGGAAAAGTTTTTGTTTGGGAGAGTTTTTTCGCTAATATAAGGAGTGGTTTTTTAGTTTAGAAAAGACATGTTTGAAAAAAAAAACTTGACTTTCTATATAAAGCTTCCCTTAGAAGCTTACTGGATAAGTCACTTTATGTATCATTAAGCCACTATGAAACAGTCATGTACAGTTGAGCGAATAAGTTGTTAGTTCCATTAAGCTTATTAAGCTGTCAATAGATAGACCATTAGTTTTTAGTCGTTAAACCTGTAACTTTGAGTTTTATTTTTTGCTCACTATGACAGTAATTTGGATGTAATTTACTATTTTAGTTAAAAACTAATTATATTTTTCCTTGTCTTAGGGCCTGTTTACTTGAGGCTTAATGAGCTTAGTGGATACACTGACTTATTCACACAGACAAAATAGGTTGTTTACCTCGGGCTTATTCGCTCAGAAATGGGCTTATTCGCCCAGATGAAAATCCTTCCTTGTCCAGATTAAGCCGGCCAAAAGACTTGCCCTACCCTTATCCACCAACAGCGCCTCTCTCTTCTCCATCGATCCAAAGAGAGGATTTAACTGGAAATACTAACGACGGGCGGCGATGGATGTGACGAACACCGGAGAACTTCGATGAACATAGGCAACCAAAGGAAATACTAACCGTCTGCACGCTGGTCTCCTCGTCTTCTTTTGCTCAACTCCTGGATTGAATCACAACACAACGAAGCAACAACCGAGTTCGAGATTTTACTTCTGAGTTCTGACACGATTAATCGAAAGGATAGGGTTTGTACTAAGGATCTATGGATTCGAACACCACATGTTTCGATTTCTGTTTCACTTGAACGATATATTTATGATTTTCACTTTAAAATGTTTCAGTTTCTATTTCCATAGACTTGTCGTTCGATTGTTCGATGATTCAGGAATATGAACTCAGATAAACCATTTGTTTTCATTAATGATGATTCCAACGCCTTCCTTGTATTTTATTTGGATTATTCATACAGTAGATATCTGTACTTATTTTGATTGCAAAATAAATTGGGACAACGCCTTCCTTGCATTTTATTTGGATTATTCATCCTCAGGGGTAAATTGGTCATTTATGTTATTCAGACTGTTGATTCAGATAGAAAAGTAAACAACAACATAAATTTATCCAGACAGACAAATTTATCTAGACAGACAAATTTATCCATACAGGACTTAATAGAAAATTTGGTAAACAGCCCCTTAGTCTTATATATTGAAATCAAGTTTCTATTTTGCTAATTTTATTTTGGAAAAAGGGAAAATTAAGAAAAAAAAAGAAGCACGATCTTAATCCAGGATTTATCTTTTTATCATTCTATATTTTGTATTCAAGTTTTGGTTTTTATGATGCTTCCTCCCCTTCACACACACACACACACACTCTCTCTCTCTCTCTCTCTCTCTCTCTCTCTTTATCCATTTTTACTCTCTCTTGGATAAGGGATATCAACTGATTACAAAGAACAACAGGGGATCATATAGAACAACGTGTATCAAAGAATAAGCCAAGGTTAGTGTTAATGACTATTTTATGTAGAAATAAAATAACCCTTGTTCAGTTCACAAGGTTTTCTTTATCAACAAGAGTATTCGTACTTGTACAATGACAATGGATGTGAAAACAATCGGTTGTTCAAGTTCAGACCATAAACGAAAGCAAACACAACTTTATGTGTCTCTTTTGGCCTTATTTCTTTGATTTTTATTGCACACCATTCCCATAGGCAACGTGTTTGATTCATATTGGTGTATGTTAAGAAAATGTATGCATACAAGCTTCTATAAACATAGATTTTGTATCTGTAAGCATGTTCTACTCATCAATAACAGAATAAGAGTGAAATCAAAGGGTGATGAGGTTTATATGAGAGAAGAAGGGACGGTTGTTTTAGAGCTGGAAAAAACAGGGATGTGGCAAGCAGGTGTTGCAACATCGATCAGGGAAGGGTCACTGTGGTTTTGGAGTAGGTTTAGGATTTTTTTTTGTAAATGTGTTTATAACTTGTACTTATGCATTGGTAACTTGTATAATACTATGTTATTTTTAAATAGTAAGAAAAATAATAAAGTAGTAAAAAGACTAGATTACCCCTAAAACTTAATAGTATTTTTCCAACGCTATTCACCGACAAAAAAAAAAAAAAAACAAATGAAAACCATAGGAATTGAAACGATTTTCTAAGAGCAGGATGAAAATCGTTATGTATACTATATTATAAAGCATTAGACAAAAAACTCTTAAAACCACTTTTTATACACGAAGTACTGTTTATTGATGCATATTATTTAAAATTCAAGATTACAAGTAAATTGTGCKTAAGTACAACTTATTAAAACTCTATGTTTGAATTCGTGTAACTAACTACAGATAAACATATCAAATACAGGATAAACATATCATTTTAAATATAAAAAATCTAAAATATAATTAACATACTCATTGAATTCTAACAAAATACTTAATTATTATATTTTATAAAAATTTATATTATTAAACCAAAAATAAAAAATGAATTACAGAAATTACACAAAAAAATAAGAAATTTTTATTAATTTGATACTAATCTATACTATATTATAAAGCATTTGGCTAAAACTCTTAAAAACTCTTAAACTCTTAAAAACTCTTAAACTTGTTCATCCCTATCCGATTTCATCCCATATCTGAATTCGTGTAACTAACTACAGATAAACACAATCAAATACATGATAAACATCTCATTTTAAATATAAAAAATCTAAAA